GAGAGAACTGGAAGGGTGAAAGTCAGAAAACTCATGGGTTGAGATAAGAACAGTTTAATAATTGAAGTAAAATGAAATAGTAGTAATAGTAATAATAATAATAATAATATAATACAATAATAATATACAAAACAAGTGATACACTATACAATTGCTCACCACCCACCGACCAATGCCTAGCTCATCCGCGAGCAGTGATCGCTGCCCCCTGATCAACTCCCCCAGTTTATATACTGAGCGTGACATCATACGGTATGGCATAGCTCTTTGGCCAGTCTGGGTCAGCTGTCCTGCCTGTGCCCCCTCCTGGCTTCTTGTGCACCTGGCAGAGCATGGGAAGCTGAAAAGTCCTTGACTAGCATAAACACTAGTTAGCAACAACTAAAATGTCAGTGTGTTACCAACATTATTCTCATCCTAAATCCAAAACACAGCACTGTACCCGCTGCTAGGAAGAAAATTAACTCTATCCCAGCCGAAACTAGGACAATATATTTTTACCATTATATGTAACTTGGAACAGTCTACGCTCGTTAAACTATTTTATAATACTTTAAACATAAAGGTTTTAGCCACCTTCTTAAGGCTGTGTAACTTCTGCAGGTAGCTTCACATGTTAATTGTCATGTTATGTATCTCCTTGCAACACAAAGAACTTCAAGTTTCAGTGCTTATCATCCATAGGACAGTTCTTTAATCTATCCTGTTCTCTTAGTAATTTCCTAGACAAGGCACTTGCACTTCAAAATTTTCCAGTAGTTGGGCTGTTTCCTTTTAAGTTAAACTTGTATTTAATTCTTTCTATGAAGAATTTCATTAAAAGTACTCTACTTATAAAGAGCTATCAGTATGCATGACAGTATAAGGTACTGCTGTAACAGTATGTTCATACTTAGGCTGTGTATTTGCTACATTTAAAACGTTATTACTACAATTATTTTCTACTGCTTATTGCCATCATCATTTTGATTATATCAAAATATTGTACAGATGTGTATATCCAAAGGCTGTCCCAGATGCAAGATACTTTGAATGAAATGCTTGCAAAACACAAAACAGAAAGGGATACCCTTGCTAAAAAATACAGGTAAGTAGAATACAAGGATTGTATTTATCAGAAGCTGTTCTTTGTAGCAATAGTGATAGGGGTTGTTAGAAGGTTAGCATACAGTAGCGTGAAAGTAAAACTATGTGGTTTTTGTTCAGATTTTGTGGAAGCATGATCCATATTGGCTTCAGTTACTTCCAGTAACAGTTTACATCAAGGATGAACTTCAGGGTTTAGCTAACACATACCAATCAGTTACTGTGCTCACAGTGAGCATCAAAATTAGGTAGTGAACATACAAAAGGTGTGGAAAAATACCTAAGCAGAAATTAGGAAATGGAAGTACTGAGCAATTAGATTACTTTGCAGCATCATGGAGGAAAGCAGTAGCAACTCAGACGCTACTTTTAGTGTCCCTGCCTCCAGTTTTCTTTCTTTAGCACCCCTAGATTGTGAGTGTTCAACCAACAGCCCACAAGAGCTATTTAGAGCAATGGCCTGAAGCATGCTTGCAGACATTCCTTTTTTGTGAGGACACCTCAAACATGAACTGAGAGTGCTCACCTTAGTGTGAGCACGGACTATGTGCATTGTCAGCCTCCTGCTGCTAGCTCTCACAAGGCCTCTCCTTACTTCTTTCTAAGAGGTACTACTTGAATGCTGCTCATGTGGTGAGTGCTCAGCTAACAATGTAGCATCGTGTTCAATGGATGCTTCATCCTTGTGAACAAACTAGTGACTGAATTAAGAAACAAGAACAGTAAAATTAGTATCTACACAAACTCATCTGCCTTCTAATATTGAGAGTGAAACTATGTTCCAGACAGAAGTGATAAATATTTCTGGGTATTGGAGATACCCTGCAGCTAATGCAACACCTGTCAATGCAACACCAACAGTAATGAGCTACATGCCAAATTATATTAAATTTCCTTTTCATTATTTATATGGTGAACATTTTATTTTTAACTAATTAATATATAAGCTTTTGTTACACGATACATAAATGTACAGAAGATCAAGAGGCATTGTCACATTTTCCATCTTTCTGTTGTTCAGTTAATTAGCCCAGGGAGAGGTACTACTAACACTTTTTTATCTGTTGCTTTGAAGATATTAAGATTATCTCTCACCTAAGAAAAATGAGCAAAAAAAAAGCATCATATTTGTTAGTGACTGTAAGTTACTTTGTCATTTTAGTCATACCACCTTTGCCTCTTCCTCTGCAGCTTCTTCTCTACCTGTATAGCAATAAAGCAACAAAACTTCCCTGAAGAAACACTGCTAGAAAAGTGTGTGGAGCCTCACTGGCCTGTGTAGGAGCCCATATTTGTCAAGGCTTACTCATATCAGTAATTGACTATATGCTGATATGTTGATCATATCATGGATTCTAAACACATGTGATAGCAAGCAGTATCACAGTACAGACCCCAATACTGTCATGCTGTGGTTTGGCTGTCCTTGTTCTGCACCAACTAGTCTTGCTGTACCTTCGTCCTGATCCCCTCTCTCTTCTGAGACTGGGATGGTGTTACTTCATGGCATCTCTGCTGTGGGTGTTGTTAAAAGCAAACCATGCTGCTATTCCTTTTCCCACACCTTGCGGTATTCTGCCTGTCTTCCCAGCATGGTGCCAGAGTGGTAGTGCAATCATTTGTCCCATGAGGGGGAATTAGGAGAAAAGAGTATTGTGCTGGGCTGGTGGCTCTTGTGCCAAAGGAAGTGGGGAAAATAAGGAATTCCCTTCCAGCAGGAAGGAGGTAAAGTCCCCCAGGGAAGGAGTCTTACAGGGAGACCAGCTCAGCTAGGGAGCAGGGTCTGATGAAGGGAGAGACATTCCCAAGCTAACATAGAACATCCTAAACTGCTCTGTCCTCTTTTCTTAATGGTCATGTGGTATTATTACAGTTGTGGCTTCACAAAATGTTTTGTTGTGTACACCGTAAAAAATTTCTGATAATATCATCCTTCAGTAGCTCATCCTGAGCTCATTTTAAAAGGCTCCAAATTACAGCCACAAAGGCATTGAATTCAATGAAGATTTGTGGTGAGAAAAGACCAGCCAGTGATAATACAGACGCAGTTTCAATTCTATGAATTAAGGGTGGTATAGGAGGACAAGCCTATTACCGAAGTTTTGATGCTTTGCATCCTACTTGTAGATGAGATTCTGCAGTTTGTTGTGCATAAGCCTGGGATTTGAACTATAAACTTTATGCATGATAAAAAGATTGTTCAAGTTTTAGGTGTTGGCAGAGTCCTTTGAATCATATTCCTGTTCTTAGTGGGTCACGTCTATTAAACTGTTTTTATTTCATGTTTACAGTAACTCTTGTGCCCTTTTTTTTTTTTTTTTTATTTTCTATAGGGCTTCAGTGGAATCTTTTAAAAAAGGAGCACTGAGGAAACAGTTAGTTAACCTTGCTTCTAGGCAAAGGAGTCTGTTGGCCGTTGCCCAAACCCAGGAAGAATTAGTCCAGAAAATACAAAATTACAGAAAAACAAAGCAAGTGTTCAGTGCATCATGTTCAGAGAAGCAAATCTCAAACTTAATTGTTTCCCATGGAAATGATGAAAGACAAAGTTCAACTGCTGATGAAATCATGTGTCCTGATGTAGTTACATTTAGTATGGGGCTTGGTGCCAGCATGCCTAATGGAAACAGAGTAGAAGCACATCTCTCTCTGGAAAATAAATTTTCAGCTCAGGAATGCAGCCAACATCCACACATCTGCTTGGATGAGACAAGAGCAAATAAAGAAGCAATTAGAAGTGAAGAGGCTTCTGATCATGCTTTGGCATCTGAAAACAGGGTAAGAGAATACCCCTTCGACAACACGTCAAAGCTGACAAATGCTTTAGAAGTGGTGACATTGCCTTCAGAACCTACTGTTTCCACTGCTAAAACAAAGTGCTCACAGCAGAAAGACATTAATTGTGTAGCAACTGGAGAACAAGGAAACAAGTCTTTAAATCCCAGTTCAGTGACCAATGCATTAAATATTGTAGAACCCCGAAGCACTGTTGTCAATAACAATGTCTGTCAGCCAGGCAGTGACTGCCAGCAGGTTCTTACAGATGAGGATCTACACAGATATGTAAATAAGAAAGAAGCTTTCCAACAGCATCAGCAGCAAGTAATTTTGTCAACATCTACAAAGAACGTTCCTAATACTCCACAGCAAATGATCTTTAGGAGTAGTGTAAACTCATTTAATGCCAACTTGGTGCTTACAAATCTTAGCTCAAATACAGATTATCCAGTAAACCTCAGTAAGAAATCTTCCCAGAGCTGCAGTAGTCAGGAATGTGAACAAAAACAAGTGAGGTATAGAACAAAAAATAAGAGAAAGCTTCAACTGATAGATCTACTTGAATTGGGAAGGATTAAGCCAGGAGAAAATGTTTTAGAATTCAAACTGCAGGTAATTTTTGAGATATAATAATGTTAATATTAGCATATAATGGAAAAAAAACCACACTAAAATGGCAAAACAGCATTTCTCATGATTTAGTCTGCATTTTCAGCACTTAGTATTGAAAATTTTTATTTATTGGTTACAGATAATCTTTTATGAGTTTTAAAGGAAAATGCTATGGATGATGTCTTCTGTCAGCCCACAATTTTAACACCTAGAATATTGCATATGTAAAATTTGTGTTTAACTTTGCATTATCAGTTAGTTAACATTTCCTATTGCTAGAACCAGAGTGGAATCGTTGCTTGGTCTACATTGTGTTATACCTGATTTTCATACTGGAAGGACTGGGAACATTAAGGTTTTTATGACTTAATGTGATTCTTGGAAGCAACTATCAAGTCCCTCAAATAAAGAACTGTGACATCAAGGATTTCATAGTGCTGTGATAGACATGAATATATGCAAGATTACTTGCTTACATGCCAGCTGGTTATATAGTTTACAGTCTGTTATGAACCATATTTGCAAAAAAAAAAACCCAAACCCACAACCTCTTTTTTTAATACAAAAGCATGTCCCTGTGTCTCCAAACACAGAGCGGATTTGCAACACAGTTGCCGGGGGACTGGCTGGGTATTGAGCAAATGATGGAATTATTGACTGAATTCCCATCTGTGAGCTAGTTAATTTCCAGGGCAACGTATTGATTAAAACACAAAAGCTTCTTTTCAGCCAACTCACCAGGTGTAGTTAATGTAGAGAAGACTCCTTTTTCTGCACCTATAATCTGCTTGGGAATGCTTTTCTGATGAGAGTGGCCGTTTCGTGTGATCTTGTGTTTTGTAACATAAGGCAGCGTGAGTAAGTCACAAGCCTCTATGTTGGGTCATGTCATAGATATATACACATGCTTCTTTTTTTTTGAAGGACATGTAATATTCCTCTGAACCTCAAGATGATTAAATGGAAGGATGAAGACTTCCGTATGCTTACTGTCATTTATCAAGACTGTTACCTGTGATACTGGCTTGATGCATGTGGATCTTAAGGAATTATAACCCTGTGTTGAAATGTTGATGTTTGTAGTGTAGAGAAGTCAGTGATTTTTACTAGAATGAAAATGACACTCATTTATGTCTTGGAAGACGGTGCTATAGAGATTGAAGTTTAGAAGCCAGTGTCTGTTGCATTGCAAAGAGGAGATGATCAGTAAGGTTTCCTTCTTTATCAGAGATGTACTTGATAACAACATACAGCTAGTACATAGTCCTTACTTAAGATTAACTTTGGGCAGGCAGAATGCAGTTTTTGAATGCTGTAGACCTAAGCTATGAAACTGTGAACTGGATTGAGTGTTCATCAAAATATTTGGGTTAAACATCTTAATTTAGATTCTTGTCGACACCCCAAGCTAGTGGATGTGATAGGAGGAGGTTGAATATTTGCTGGTGGATCATTCTCTTAATCTGATTGTTTAACCTCACACATGCTAAGCAACCTTACTAAGTTCTAACATAGTTTACCAACAGCTAATTTTTGCATTATTTAGCTGTGTTAGCCTAACTGAGACCAGTATAAAAAAGCCATAATTTACTGAACGGTAAACAGGTATAAGCCATGCTTCTGGAGGTGGATGTATGTTTGCAGAACTGGGCTGTATTAGCATTATCAAAGAGGCTGTAACAACGAATTCTTATATACTTAATTTTGCATAAGATAAGGCTGCCAGGTTCCTCCTAAAACATGTAAGTGATGTCCCTTGACATAAGTGAAGCTTTTATGCAAATATGCTTCATCTTTGAATCATTGCTGGAATTTCACTGTGACATGCATTTGTTCCACACGCGTAAGACAGATTGCATTTGAGTAACAGTGTCTTGGTGCACAGACTTGCCTCTTGCGAGTTCATGAGTTCACTGTTGCAAATTAATTTATTCACAGCTTTGTTATGTCTAAGAGGAACTAAGATGCAAATACAGTTCTGATAAACACACATAGGGAGATTTGTCCTCTGACGGTGTCTGTGTGCCCAAAATTCTGGTGGAATAAATCCTCATATTTTACATACCATGGTTTATGATAGTGGCATTAAATTCCTTAACTTTTTTCAGATAAAAACAGAATTAGCTACAACTTTTCAGCTATATTGTTCTTCAGCGCTTTTTCATGTTTTAAGGGTGTTAATTCAGTTTTGTTGATTTATGAGTTGAAAACTATTTCTTAATTTACTTTTTTTAGGAATTTAGTCATAAAGCCACACTCTTAAACAATGGCAAGATCAGAACCAGTAAGAGAGAAATACTTCAGAATCCAGTTCAGTGGGTTAAAGACCTACTAGGAAGTGATATTTCTGTGACATGGAAGTATGTGTGGAATAAGGTAGGCCAGATTTTACTCCCAAAAATAGCAATAATAAATGGCAATAACAAATTTCACGAACTTGGATCTCCTTACCATTCTTAAGGCAAAAGAGGGTACAAGCCTAAATTTTAAAAAGTCTTCTTACTCGTAATAAGCAGCAAAGAAAGAGCTACATAGCTGTAGCTGTACACTGATGAACTAGTCACGAGTGTTGAGAGAATGTGGAATGCCCACTCTAAGCTGTCAGTGGTTTGAAAGAGTAGTTTTAAAGATGATTAAGAGACTGACAGAAAAAGCTGAAAGGTAGTTAGAATAAAAAGGAGCAAACCTGTTGAAATGTCAGGGTGTCAAGGGCAAATGTTGCAAAAATACTGGCAGAGTTTAGAGGGCTTTGCAGATGGGTTGTATTATGCTTTTTTCCATTTAGAATTCAAATTAGTAGAATTTTTGCTTGATCTTGACAGACACAGACTGTCAAGTGCATAAACTCAGTTTTGTAAGAAAAGTTAAATTTTTACAGCTATCAGAAAAAAACACTAATTTAAATGACCAGTTATCCATTTAGATTTGTTTGTACAGGTTACATATCGTGGGACACAGTTGTCAAAATTTCTTGTTGAAGAAGTGTCAATTTCTAGTGACCTGGAATTACCATCACAAGAAAGAGAGCCTTTGGGTATGTACCACTTAAAATCTAATATTCACCATGACTGAAAGCAGCAGAAAGTGATTTCTAAAGAGCTTAAATTCCAAAATTCTTCTGTTGCTATTGTTTTCTGGGCTACATGCTTATAACAGATCTTGGGCTTGAAAAACAGTGCCAGAACTTACACATGATCACTAAAGAAGTACATTTCTTTTCTTCCATAAATTGGTTGTGTGAAGAGAATAATTACTAATTACTTGATTGCTATGTAAAAAATATTTATGTAACATTTTACATTGAAAATATTTAATATATAAAGTGAAGTTTTTAATAAGCTAATTTAATACTCATTTATTCTGTTGGCAACTCATACACTAGCATAAGTTTTAACTGCATGTACATCTTAAAATTACATTAAATACTCTGTGTTGGTGGAAATCCCAGTATACCCCAGCAACTGTAGTAACTAGGGGGATATTTTATTCTCTAAAAATAAACAGTCATAAGAAACAAAGTGTATTGATATACCAAAATGACATTGAACAATTTTTTCAGAACTGCCCGGCAGACTTAAGAATTTCAGCCTAATTTTGATAAGTAATGTGTTCCCAGGGAAACCCAAGTCCCTTTGATAGCCAGTTGCACTTGGAGTCCAAAAAGCTTTTGGGCTTTTGTGATTAGTTCTGTTAATTTGATGAGACACTGCACCTCACATGAACTGGGATACCAGGCTTGGTCTGCTCTTAACATAATAAAAGTAAATTAAAAGATAATAATTTAAAATAACTAATTTGATATTCAGACTACCATGTTCTACTAGTATTTGCTTCAGGCTAAGAGCATTCAGATGATGAGTTTACATTGCCCTGCTTCAGGTGTAAGTGACTTGAAAATGGATTTAGTCTCCTAACTTTTTAATAAGCTTTTGAATATTTCACTAGTTCTTGTAAATTATTCCTCTCATGGAAAATTTGTTATAAACATTGTAAATTCTAAAACAGTGAAATCTATTTATTCAAAAAATACTCTTGACAAACAGAAATCAGATTGAAGATCAGTAAGTGTTTTTTTTCCCTCAGATTTTCACAAACAGTAATCTGGGAAAAAGTATTGAAAGAAGCTTTTTGTTACGTGTAGTTTGAGATCACAGTAATGCCTAACCATTGGCCCTAGGTGAGAAACTGAGGGAGGGAAAGCCAAGGTGTCCTCAGTTTCAGTTCCATTTCAGGTATTATATGGCCAGATACATAGTAGGAAATTAATCAGTGCCTTAAATCATTCCAGAAGAGGATTAACCTGCACTGTTTTATTGTAAGAACAGTTGCAGGCATTCGGCTCTGGAACTGTGTCCAGGCTGGGTTCAGGAGTTAGCTTGTTCCAAGGGCTATTCCCAACAGGCACTTTGCCTGCAGCAAGCCTTCTCAAAAGCACAGGAAAGTTTGCTGGTGTGAATGAGAGTTATTCTGTGCTGCTTGCCTGGGGACATTCCCAGGCACTCTTTTATCTTTCTGATATACTTACAGGCTATGTGTTTTTTATAGTAGAAGTTTGTCCTGCTTTTGTAAAGAATCAGTCTTCTTTTTTTCCTTCTGTATTAATGAATTGAATTTTTTTCTATGCATCCCAGAGCATTGTTAAAAAAGGCGACTGGGGCCTGATAATTTGAATATTTTTGGAGGAGAATGCTATTATTTTAAATACCCCTCCCCCACACTCCTTCCAGCTTCCCAGATCTTAGCTCAGTGTTCATTGAGCTACTGTATGAAGAGGATGGGGAAGTGGGAAGAAAATGATACAGGCAGTGGCTGTATCTGGCTGTCTTTCGACAGAAAGAAGCAGCTACCACTGATCTTTGTATAGACCCCAATTTAGGAAGCAAGTCCTAAGAACCTCTACCAAATCAAGGTCCCTAAGCAACACAGGTGAAGCAGTTGCTGTTCTGTGGATGCCAGCATAAGAAATGTCCCAGCTTTTCAGCTTGGTTGAGGTTAAGGTCCTTCCAGGTTTATACAGCAGCATAATTTTAGGTACCTGAGGAACGTTAATGCAATAAACTTAAAAAGTCCGTGAAGTAAATCAGTCCCAGACCAATGCAGGTATTTAACAGAAGTTTTAAAGATTACAATTTTGGAATTAGTCATCTAAATCTTACTAAATTTCACTTTATGTCCCTTCTTTGAGTCTGAGCCTTTAGTCTCACGCTAGCAGAAAGCAGAAATTACTGTATTCAAGTCTGAGTGAGAACTAAACGTTAAGATAAACAGTACTTTTAGGCTATCTGTATGTAGGAAAGCAGAAGAAACAGTGATTGTATGACTTGGAATTTATTCCTCTCTGCTTTCTGATACATGTAATGATGACATAATGTTTACTAAAAATGACCAAGAATAACAAGGATTCAGAAGCAGATGTCAGCTGAAGAGCAGATGTCAGTTGCAGAGCAGATGTTGGTGTTAGATATTTCACATTGAAATTCCAGCAAAGTGGCTTAAAAGAAAAGCATATCCAGTTATTACAGTAAGCATGATACGTACATTCATTTCGCAGATTGCTATTTCAGGAAGATGGTCTTTGGAAAGTGGCATGACTAGTGCAATTCTTGTGCTCTGGCAACCCCTTACTGCCTTTAATAACTATTAGCGACCTATAAAGATTAGAACAACTCTTTCTCACCTTTAGTTATGAAAGACTGTAAAGTTGTGTGGAATAAAGAGTGTTTTCAAGGGAATCCAGATGATTTCTTAGTGGCTGAATCATGGGAGCTGTTTCATAAGGTTTGTGTTAGTGTTACTTCAGGTATCTAGCATAAAATGAGCAGCTGAGCTCAAAAAGGTTGCGTGAAAGCGAATGAGAATAGTTTTGCTGTAATATGTGATACCATATGTTTCTGTTTTCCTTGAGACAAGCAGTGAAACACACATATATTTAGTAGGCTACTATTCAAGTTAAATTTGTGTGGCATCTAATATAATTTTGCCAAGGAAGACATATATTTTAAAAAAGGAGAATGCCTCAATAATCTTACAGCAGCTATGGCTGGGCTGGTAAAGGAGCAGAGGAAAGTCTGCCCTTACATGTGTTAGGTGGTGTAAGGCTAAGTAAAAATGTCAGCATTTACCTTTAAGAAAAATAAAAAGTGTAACTGCTCTGTGCATTAAAACACCAGTGTTAAACAATACTGTTTGTTCTTAGAACAAAATTGTCTTGATCTTTTTATGCTCTCAGGAAAGGATTTTATCACAAGGGACCCCAGCAACCGCAACCAGCACCATCAGAGTCCTGGTACTGTCTTCATTGCTCAGCCTCTTGGGAGCTTTGACCTGAGCCATATGCAGCCAAAAACCCCATCCTTGCCACAAACAGAAGTTGTGAAAACATTGCTATGCACTGAAAGAGAAGCAGCTGTTACCACGGAATTTAAGAGTAAGATTTTTTTTTTTAACTGCCTAAAAAACTGCCTAATGGTGGGTGCAAGGGCTGTACAACAGATACAGAAGGAAAAAGAAAGTAGGTGACATGGAATTGATTTGTGTGGACTCTGCTGATGGGTTGGATTGACCTAAATGACCCAATAATGAAGTTTTTCAGAGCTCGGTATGTTTGACTCTCCTGTGTCTAAATTAGAAATATTTGTTATTTTGATGTAATTAACAAAATTACTCCATATCATTTGAAGTACTCAGTTAAATGTTTCCACAAAATAATAGCATAGACAAGTGTCTTCTGGATTTAGATGGAGAAATATGATACAAAAGCATTGCTGAATAATCTCATGCAATCTAATTTAAAGAGAAAAGCGTAAATGTTCCTGAAGATGCTCTGATCTTTGTGGAGTTGACTGAGCTTATAGGTATGTGTTTTCAATATTACATTTTTATGTTGATTGCACATTAAACCCTCTCCATAATATTCATATGATTTGAACAGTGCTTGCTGCACTTTGACCCAGTATTTTTGCCTCTACCACCTTTGATTACACTGCAGAGGGATGACCCTGATCAGCCACAGTGCAAAGTCAGAGTGGTCAGCTCTAACCCCCACTGTGCCCAGTGTCAGGTAACACTTTGCACTGAAGTGGGTAACAGTGCTGAGTCAGGTCTGCAGTGGGAGACGTTAAGAAGCAAATCAGAGGTGAAGTGCCTAATCAGTGTCAGCCATTGTAAACTGGAAGTGTGTCCAAACTATAAAGCAATTCTTTATGCTTCTGCAAGTCTATATATAGGCCCTGCAGCTACAGTGCAAAGGATTAAGTAAACCCCAGAGCTGAGAATCCTCTGAAGAAAATGCTTTGTTATCCCCCCCTTTTTTTTTTTTTTTTTTTTTTTTTTAAATAATAGAAGCAAATAGACTGAGTATCTTAAATGCCAGGGCAGAATATTTGGAGGGAGGTGGTCTTTAAAGTTACAAAAAATAGGTTGTGTAGTAGATTGTATTCATATGTATCAAAAAAACCAGGTTGAACTGCCCTTTGATATGATTTGAAAAGTTACACAGGTTATGGCTCGTAGGAGTTATTTTTCTCTGTGGAACAGCCACGTTCATGGTTTCTCAGATATAGTTACTAGTTATAGTTGTGCTTACCAAGATAATGGTCTTGTACCATGTATGGTCCTTGCCACCCTATTATCTGAGTGCTCAATCCTGTCTGGAAACTGTTATAGCAAGAGTGTGGAGTCATTCTGTAGCCAAAGAAAATTGCTAACAACAAACATGTGGGCATCATGCAAAATCAAACATTCATAATACAAGAAAAATTAATAGGTTGAAAGTTTACAGAAATGTTGTTCCATATATACATTTTTGTTTATATCTACTACAATTACCCTGTTAATTGAAGCAAGAAACTGGTTAACATGCAGTATAACCTTTAAAAAACTTAACCACCAGACCAGTTTCCACATCTGTAGTTTGTAAAACCCAAACCTTTTGCATCCAGTTCTGAGGAGAAGCTTTTCAGGTTTCACAGTCTGACCAAAAATATTTTTGAAAGCAAACTATGAAAATCAAACTCCTACTTAAGAAGGAAATTCCTTTAAAAACAAGTGTCTCAGTGTGAGTATTTCGTTGAGTCTCTTAAAGCTTTGGAAGTGCCATGAGAAGCCTCATAGCCCATAGATGGATTTCCTGTATTTGTTTGCCTGTTACATTTGTTTCCACAGAACCAGTCAGATAGACAATGCCATTGCTGCTTTACTTCACACTAAATAAATTCTGAATGTAAAACTCAGCTGCATAAATTAGCTTTTAACTAGTTTACTTTCTTGGCTTCGCTAGTCCTGGGAAATGATAGAAGAGTAATTAATTTCAGTTTTCTTGCTAGTCAATCTTATCTTCTTGTCATGTGCACCAGTACAAAGTTGTGATGCTGAAACTGCTGACTTGGCAGGATAATATTTAAATACAAATGAATTGCTCCACTAGAATGAAACCAAGCTGTTAAGCATTTCAATACCTCATAGGTAGCTATAAAATTGGGCTACTAGTAAACATTGCATGTGCGTATTTGCAAGAATCTTCCATTAGACTTTAAATTGTAAACTTCTCAGAAGAGGGACCTCATATGCATCTTTGAACTGATGGAAGGTATTACTTTGGTATGAGTCCAAACAACAAATCTAGCCCATTGTAGTATATTTTTCCTGCAATATGTTTAAAGCTCCATGTAATTATAATGCAAAGAAATGTTACCCATTCTTGAAAGCTTGCAATATATTTTGTGCTGCATAGTGCCCAGATTCTGCTTAGGCTCAGACAATTATGTCAGAAACTACTGGAAAACTGTACTATTCTTATACTCATGTTTATGAAGGAAAGCTGGAAGAGATGATGAATGTTGTGTAGTGATTCAAAAGTCAAGATGTAAACTGAGAACCCCAAGTTTATTTGTATTTTTTTTAACAAAATGGCATGACTTAAAGGAGCTTGACTCTGTATATCTGAATTTTTTGGATTGGGTATTACTGAAGTAGTGGCTCATCATTACCATGCATAATGGCGATAATAATACGGAAGAGGAGAAATATTTGGAAGTGATTAAAAAAAAAAAAACAACCAACAAACCAACTACAAAAAAACCCAAAACCAAAAACCCCACAAAACCAAAACCCTAGCATGTAATATATGTTTTCCTTGTTACCTGTAGCAGAATATTCATCAATGACACAATGTCCCCATTTATCTGACTAAAAGACGGGGACATGAACTATATCTTCTTTGTACTTTGGAAGCAAAGTGAGATTGTAGACAAATACTTCTATTCATAATTTCTTCCATCTCAGAGGTATCTCAGGGTACAGCTATTATACTGTTTTCTCTTCTTTATGGCTTGTAGACAAAATATTTAAAAGTATTTTCCAGTACTTTAAAGTTCCAGGCATTTGCTCTAGGTAATTACATACTTTACAAAGCAGCACATAGTTCTGTCAGCAGAATTTACAAAGGCGTATTTTCCAGTAACTTTGCATACCACAGCTGCAGCACAGGCTTCTTCCATCTGCACACTCTTCCTTTCCAAAATCCTCTACCTGCCCTTTTTTGACTATCAGCAAGGTAGAAGGTAGAATGTCACGTGACTGGCTCAGAGTTGAGCTATGTGGCCAACAAAATTCACTTTTTAGGAGGCCAAAAAGGAACAAAAAAAAAAAGAGAAGAAGCAGCTTTCAAGGACTACATGCCCTCGAAGCCAATTCTAAGAATTTAATGTCTGTATTTCTTATCTGTCAGTCAGGTTTTTCTGAAACTGGCAAATCACTCCAAAAGTAACTAGGTGACTGGACTGCACAGAACCATAGCTTCTGTGAGGCCTCTGGAGGTCTCTAGTCCAACTTCTTTTTCGAAGCAGGACTAACTTCCAAGTTAGATAAGGTTGCTCAGTGCCTTGTCAAGTCAAATTCTGAATATCTTCAAGGATGGACACTCCATGACATCTCTGTGCAACATATTCATGTGCTTAACCATGCTCATGGTGATTTTTTTTCTCCATATATCTAGTTGGAATCTTGTTTGTTGAAACTGGTGACCACTGCCTCTTTTTGTTGCGTACAGAAACCTTGTTTCCTTAAGAAGCCTGGGTAAAAGTCAGTAAACTGGCTTCTAGTCAAGAGCTTTAAACAGTGGCTTTCTGGCCTTTTTACTTTGTGAAACAAGTTCTAAAAGAAATCCTTTGATAACTGACCCATCTTAATTAATCAGCTGCACTATAACGTTTTCATCTGCTTTGGTGGTCTCATGGAGACTGAGAGAAGACTAAGACAAACAGAACTGTTGTGGATCATCTTTCTAGAACACATCTATCTTTTCTTATCTTACTTACAAAAGCAATAAATGAAAGGCAATGTGATAAACAGCAAGCTTCAAGAGGCAGCAGCTTGAGCTACTGCATTGCTTGAAACAGAGAAGACAGACTTCTTTGACACCACACTCTGGTAATGTCAAATGAAAGCATTTAGGAGACTACCTGATGATCTTACCTTGGTAAGCGTTCATATCATGCTTCTATCTTTTTTTTTTTTTAGGAGTGACTTTTAAGAAAATTGTAGACAAAACAATTCAGTCTTTAAATCACCACATGATAATAGCCTAGGAGAAGGCTCTCAAAGTTGTTCTGAGGCTGTACATAAAATCCACCGAATGAGTAACAGCTCCTGTAGATTTTGCCAGTGCATGAAAAACACGAGCTATTAGTTTTTCTACCAAATAGCTGTTCTGACCTGAGCTGAAACTTGATTTATACTTTGTCTTCTGTTTTTTCCAGTCTACATCTCAGTGTGCTATAAACGGCAAGAATTTTAAAGTGTTCGGTTTTTAATTATCCAAGGTTGGCCCTGGAACTGCTTCTTATCCACTATCTTGGCATATTAAATTCAGGTTGTCTAAAGTGGTTAGAAATAATTGTACAGAACCATGTATTTTCCTTCCAAATGAGTATACAAGTGAATCATTATGTAATCAAGTATACAGTAATAACTCAGTAAGTTTTAAAAGAAAGAAATGTATGGTGGGAACCTGCACCCTGCTAGTCATACCAAGAAATTGTCCCCTACGAATCATTTTAAAGCAATCTTAGTGCCTTCTAATAAAGGATACTAGTGAATGCATTTGTTGTTGTTGAACTCGGTAATTTGATATTTAGATAGAGTGATTCACTTAATCCAGAAACTGAAAGGCCATCTGGACAGCCGTATGAAAATATATGTGTGAGAAAAATGGAATCAGCCATTATGTTCTATTTTAAAAGTACTTATTTCTTTATAAATTCAGTCTTGACTATAGCTTCTTTTATGGGAGGCTGTATCCATTTCCCGATTGGTATTCGCACATGTCAATAACACCTCTCTCACCTTTTGAGGGAAAAATCATGTTACAGCTATTCTAAAGAAGGTAAGAGCCACTAAGATTTAAATTGTCCACTCGTTTCCCTGATA